TCTGTCTGTCTCTGTCTGTCTGTCTGTCTCTCTATGTGGATTAGTTCTCAAGCTTAAACACTGTTAGTGTCTGCATAGAACAAATAAAGACAGATGGGCAGTGTATTACAGGTCAAACCCTGTCCCACTGCTGACTAGCAGCTCTATGAACTTGGGTAAGTCTCTCACATTCTAAACATCTTAACTTCCCCTAATTGACAAATGCGGGTATTAATACTGATAGCACCCACCCTCCTAGGTTAAATGAGACGAAGCACAGAGATGGCCAGTCCAGGGCCTGCCAAATCAACATGGAACATCCTAATTTCTCATCTTAAGTCTGTGTCTTGCTTCTGGGTATGTCTGAGGTGTCCTTGGGCACAATATATATTTTGTGCTATGGAGAAGTACATCTATACAGGCTATTTGTACCTGGGCCAGGAATGAATCTGCTTTGTTTAAGCCGTGGGGTTAGATTCCTGCAGGAAATCTTCCTGCCACCGAGGATGCAGGGCAACAGAGGCTAAGGAAGAAGTAGGTGGCAGGATTCTGTGTATTCAAGTTCTGACGCATGTCAAGGAAGCTAGGTCTGCCAGGCTGGGAAAGGGAGGGATAAAGTTCAAAGGCAGCAGAAAGCAGCAGCCACAGAAACAATATGTCCTTTTAGGATGTGGCCCAGAGGTCTAAAAGTTATCCTGGGGAGGTGTCTTCTCCCTTCTGTGACTCACTGACTTTGCTGAAGAACGAGTCCCCATTTCCTTGTGAAAAGATCATTTCAGAGTGAGGACGTGTGTGGGAGAGCAAAGGCTGATGGGAACCTCATGTCCCTCCCTGCCTTCTTGGGGAGGTAGCCAGGTGACTTAGACTGGATCAAGGTGTACAAAGAGCAAGGACACCCAGATCAGGCTGTAGGTAGCAGCCTTGGGCCAAGGCTAGCCCAGCTCCCATCTCCAGCTTCCTCCTCCTCTGAGGCAATCAATACAAGCACCAGTCTCCAACCTGCTCCTTTTTCGTGCCACAGCCCTGCCCTCTGACCTTTTGGGGGCCTTTTCCTTGATTCAGCTCCAGAATGGAGGTAAAGGCCATCACTCCGGGCCTACTCAATGGCCCCAGAATGGGTTGTCACGGGGCCCTATAACCAGGGACAGCTCCTGCTGACCAGAGCTGGAGTAGGGAGGGCAACAGATAAAGGCCTTCCAGTCTGAAGATAAATGGCCGCCTGCAGCCCTGCTACAGTAACTTTAGGCCCCCAAGAAGAAGAGACAAAGGGTGCCCCTGTGACACACACTGGAAAGATGAAGGCCCATCAGCAGCAGCCAGGCTGGTTCAAAGCCCCAGCTTAATTGTCAATTAAGCATGCATAAGGGGGGGACAAAGCCATGACAACCCTTGGCTGCATGCTGGTGTGTGATTGTAAAGGCAGAGAGGGGCAAGGCTGAAAACAGCTGATTCTGCTGAGTGTGTTTGTAGGCTACCTTGTAACCAACTAGCCGCTGACAGAGGCAAAGTGCTTCTCCTGCCATCCCTATTGTGTGGGACATTCCAGGACCAGGGTCACATTGTGGTCATCGTGGGCAAGTGGGGCACATGCAGTAAGCATGGCTGGGAAGGAGGGGGCTTGTATAGGAAAAGGAGGCACAACTCTCCAGGAAGAGGGCTCTGGGGAAAAAGTCTTCTCTTTGCTGCTGCCAGATCTCCTGACTCAGGTGCTGGGGTCTGGAGAAGGGACAGTGGAGAGCAGGGAGCTTAGATCTTGGGGTTGTGTCTCTCCCCAGCTCAGCCTTAAAGATTGCCAGTGTTAGGGGCAGGAGAGTATCTCACAGGGTAAAAGGGTCCTATACAAGCATAAGGACCAGCGTTCAGAACTCCACAGCCATGAAAATGCTGAGTGGGCAAAGGGTTTGTCTGTGATTCTGGCACATCGGGAGATGGATGGATACAGGGGGTCCTCAGAGTTAAGATAGCTACTCAGAGTAGTCAAATAAGTGAGCTATGGGTTCAAGTAAGAGACCCTGCCTTAATAAGTAAGGTAGAAAGCCATCAAGAAAGATGCTGGGCATCCACCTGCTACTTCTCTCTTAGCTTCTTTTGTATTGCATCTTAAGTGGCTTGCAGCAATGTCTAGCCCTGTGGCTTAGATATCACACACACACACACACACACACACAACCACACATGAAGGTACATACACACACATATATGCACACACCAATACACATAGATAGATCGATAGATAGATAGACAGACAGATAATGGATAAGTGGATAGATGGCCAGTACTGACGCTGAGTGTTGGTTCCAAGTTTCAGGTTCCAAGTCAGCTATGTTTTTGGCTTGGTACTAGGAATGTCCCATTACAGGGAGGGTACAGTGAGGCTCTGTAGCCCAAAGCCTTTCTTGAGCATTTCTGACCACCTAGCCCTGGGGACAGTCCTAAGAGCCATCTTGGAAGCCTGAGAAGGGCATCTGGGGTTCTAATTCCAGCACTGCAAAGCACAGTGTTCATTTCTCTGTCAGTCCCAGGATGAGAACACGTCTCACTGCCTGTGAAGATTAATGTCAAAGCATGTGGAATTAAAGAGAAACAGCTTTTGTTTTGTTTTGGTGCCTGTTCTCACTCCCATTCGTCCTCCTCAATACCGAGAGGATGGGAGGGACTTGGGAAAGATAGTGTTTACAGCGTCCACCCCTTTAATCCTTGCATGCATGCAGCATCCATCTGATACATAAGGAACTCAGAACTTACATGAATTAGTCACACTCATCATCTGTCTACTTAGAACCAAGGTTCAAAATTACAGCCAGAGAATCCAGTCTCTGGGCATGAGTCCCTTGATGGGCTTTGAGTGAAAAGGGATGTCTAAAAAGCCACTGAAAATATCCAGTGTCCCCTAAGAATCCTTCCAAGACAGCTGTAGGATCTTTCTCTCCCTAGAAAAGTCCATGATGCTCCCAGAGACAACCTTGATTCTCAGCTGGATCTGGAGGCTCCCTACAGAATATAAATCCCGAGGCTACAGGGCTGTGTGTCCCCGACATTTTCCTTCTCATTCTTCACATGCTGGCTAGGCACACATTCCAACTCTGAGCTGCTTCCCAATTTACATTGCCAGGACTTGGTTAGCATTTAATGTATATTTGTGCGGCAAGAATCAGCAGACCTGATGTCTAACCACCATCATGTGAGTTTCAACAAATTATCTCTTTCTGGGCCTCAGTTTCTTTCTTTGAAGGGATTCTGGGTTCTATTCCCCTTTTTTCTTTTTTAAAATTTTATACAGATCCAGAGTTTCAGAGCAGTGCAGAGATTCCATTTTCAGTGGAGCGTACTCCTCTCAGACTGCCTCTGGCCCTCATCTCTTCCTCTGCTGTTCTAATACCTGGCCCTGCTGCCTTAGTTCTCTGGCTCTCCAGCCAGGGCACAGGGAGCCTAAACTAGCGACCCTGCAGTGACCTCAGCACAACCCCAGCTTGTCAGAAAGCCGCTGGCCCTTTGTTTGGCTCTCTGGCTCCCTGACTTTGGTGTGGAGATCACAGGTCCCAGCACAATGCCCATTGTCTTCTCAACAATGCTCCTTGCCCCAACCACGCCCCCACAGCTTCCAGATTTAGCTCCATGGATCACCGTGGTGGGCAAATTCTCTAGCCCTGCTCAATACCAGCCATAGGCTATCCACCACCTACCTGCTGAACCTTGCTTTGTATCGCTGTAAGGGGGTTTAGTGACTCTTCAGTCAGGCCAACACTTTCTCTCCTCACTACCCACAGTTTCTTTGCTTTTTATAAATAAGTCAACTTTCTTCTGGGGTGTCTGAGCCCTTCCTTACTCTCAGAGCAGGACTCAGAGAAACCCCAGCCTGGTCCTAAGCTTCGTGCTGGTCCATTTCAGGTCTCAAAGATCATACCTCCTACAAGAGGCAGGCATGGAACAAATGTCTGCATACTGCCCATCTACTGGCTCAGACCCTGTCCCAATGACTTGGATAGCCCAACATATGAATACTTACATTCATTGAAAACTCCAGAAAAATAAATAAATCCTTCAAGTAAAGGTAAATCTTTTGGGAATTTTTTTCATAAGGCCAACAACTTATTGAACTAATTGTCTCTGTTTTAATACTTTGACAAAGTATTAAAACATACTTAATCATCTTGCAGCTCTTGGGCCTTTCCCACCAAAACGGTAACTTGCAGGGGAGGGGAGGAAGGCACCTTGGAGGACTGTAGATTACAGCAATGGCTGGCTTTCCTTTCTCAAGCTTTCTCCCAGATCGGAAAGCTGTGTTGTGTTTGGGATACATGGGTACCAAACAACCATGGGTACCAAAAACCTCATTTCTAGTTAAGTCAGCTTTCTTAGGAGAATTAAGACCTAGGAGAAGACATGGCTGTCACAGTACTTAGCACATAGGGGTCCTTTTGCATGTGAGGATATAAGCATCTATCTTTTGATATATTCAAACCCCATAGCTGAGGCATTCTGATCCAGGCCAACATGCTACAAACTCCTTAGCCAGCTCATCACAGACGATCTCAAGTGACGGATTCCATCTAAACCCTGGCTCAGCACAGACAAGGCTGCCACCCAAGTGGCTTTTCCCTAACAACCATTTGACTCCTGCTGAAACTGGAGAGTGGAGGATAGGATATGGTCCAACACGCAGAGGGGTCATAGTGACCGGTGATACATCACTGTGATCTCCCTGCCTGCAGCTTGGACCTGGCATCCCCAAAAGGCAGCTTTCTCTGGAGATAATCAGTGTGGCTGAATCAGCAGTCACATAGAATGACGATAGAGAAGAAAAGGGCAAAGGGCTCCTTTGAGGGCCAAGCAGCTGAGCAAGGAATGGAAGGAAACCTGACCAGAGGCACATACTCTTTCATGAGCCTGTTCTGGCAATGGGAAGAAAGCATGTTTGTTGCCATCCCAAAGCGTGCTCCTCTGAAGCACTGTGAACAGTGAGACCGGCAAACACGGCTGTCAGTCAGTTCCGAGGCAGTGAGAGCCTGGCCTCTGCTTACCTGACAGCTTGTTGGGTGGAGAAGAACTTGGCTGGTGGTGAGGGGAGCCATGGGTGAGCAGGGGGTTCAGGTTGTGTGTCTGGTTGGAGCTATAGGCATCCATGGCCAGCTTCTGCCTGAATGCCTCTTCCTTCCGGCGGTTTGCAAACCAGTTGTAGACACGGACCTCCGTGACCAAGTTGGAGCCTAGGCCGTGGGCTTTGGAGGGGGAGACCCCTCGTTGCAAACATTCTGCCCTACAAAAGACAGAGGGGAGAGACGGTGAATGAGGGTGCCTGGGGATTGTGTGTGCTAGGTCTCAAACACAAAATCGTAGCAGAAGGTGAAGGTCAGTGGGGGTGAGGGAGAGGGCTGTCAAGAGAGAGGCCATCCTCACAGTGTTTGAGAAGGCTCAGTGGAAGCTTTGGTGGGGCCCTGAGCAAGGCAGAGCATAGGCCCCTCTGTGGCTCCTATTAAATGAGGGCAAGCCAAGGACGGGCAATTTCAAGATTGGCCATCCTGGCACCTCCTTTACTGCTTCACGAAAGACAGAGTCCTTTGCTGGCTCTAAGTCTCTTCCAGGCACTGTGAGAGATATCTGGACTTTGGGGGGTTGACACCCTAAAAGGGTGCAGGGAATCCAGATTCCATATTCTTGCTCTGGGGCAAAGAACTAGCAGAGAGAAGCAGGGCATTAAGAAGGGGAGGGGTGTCTTTGTGTATAAGCACCAGTGAAATCCCCAGCCCACCATGAGCTCTGTTCTTGGACACCCCACTTGCTATTGAAGGCTTTCCTTAGCCTGAAGACCTTGTGCCAAACCTGGCCTGCTTCCCCACCTAGCCTTCCTGGCCTTAGCTTTTCACTACCAAAGCTGCCCAGCTTGGAAACTTAGCAAGGACTCTACAGGCTTCCGCCAGAGCAAGGAGTAAATGTTTTAGAAAGTCGGTATAAGAATGAAAGAAAATGGAGAAAGAACAAAGCCAAAGGATTCTCCAAGGACTTCCAGTGTTTGCTTTAAAAATAATATATACACAGTTAAGATACAAAAAAGAGTCTGTTGAGTCAGTGTGCACAGAGCAGACCAAACAGATCCAACCAAGTCTTACTTGCCTGCCAAATTTCCTTGGTTGTTTGCTTGAGACAGCCTCAAATTCTTGATCTTTCCCCTCCCTCTGCCTCCTGAGTGCTGGGATCACAGGTGTGTGCCAGTGTGCCAAACATTCTTATAAAACCTGTGCCAGGCCAGTGGAGGCCAGAGTTAGGGAACAGTTTGGTGTTGCCTATGTAGAATGGAAACATCTCTCCAACATCGTATTTTATGTCAGAACTTCTAGAGTATCTCTCCTAAAAATAAACCCGCACAGGAATAATGATTTAGCATTTCACAGAGATGAGATTCCATAATTGACAACCAGGCTTCTTAAATGCAGGGTTCTCAGTTCTTTTTCTTCTTTTGAACATTCATTTTGTGTGTGTGTGTGTGTGTGTGTGTGTGTGTGTGTGTGAGCTTAGAAGACAACTTGCAAGATTTGGTTCTCTCCATCATGTAGATCCTGGGGATTAAACCCAGGCAGTTGGGCTTGGTAGTAAGTGCCTTAGCCCTCTGAATCATTTTGCCAGTCTTCCTCAGAGCTTTTGCAATACTAAAATATGCTATGACTCCCTGAAGTATACCTGTGATGTGTCTCAAACCTATTTACTAGTAAATTAAATTGGGGTTCTGTAGAATACACTTTAGGAGGCCCTGATTTAGCCACACTTATAGCTGGATCATCAATATCTCAACATCACAGGACCAAGGGGCTAAACCTTTGCCCTCATGTTCCAGGATCTCCTGGCATTACCTGTTACACTCCTCCACTAAGGCCTCCCTCTCTTCCTTGCTGGGATTCTTTTGCCGGTCGTAGGCCTGGTACAAAATTTGCTGGGATGCGGGCCCCCATTTGAACCGGTTGCGGCGCATCTTCTTGTTGGTGGGCTCAGAGCAGGCGTCCTCTGACTGCCCAGGCCCCTGGTTCTGTTGACTGAACTCTGGAAAGAGAAACAGCAGCTGATCCTGACTGCTTTTGTCTGTCATGTTTCCAGAGCTCTGGACTGTCTGGTTGAACTCTGAAAAGAGAAAGGAGTAGACTTGATAGAGCCTGTAGCCTTCACTCTATAGACAGACAGACAGACAGACAGGCAGACAGACAGCTGACAGACAGACAGACAGACAGACAGGTGGATCAATGAACAAAGACACCTTAATTCTTTTCCTTTAAGCTTTACAGTGCGCTCCCGTTTTATGTGGGGATACAGAGGGAAACACCTTACAACAGGCCCCTCCCTGCTCGTCTTGTGTCTCCCAGCAAAGTCACTCATTCCTTTCTTGGACAGAGGTCGACAAGTCAATGTTTTGAGAAAATTAATTATTTTTCTTTGTCTTGGTGACTTTCTGACATTGAAGCAACACTCTGAATTCCTAATGCTTGTTATTTATTTACTTATTTATTTATTTTTGAGACAATGTTTCATGTGTGTCCCTGGCTGTCCTGGAACTCACTCTGTAGACCTGACTGGCCTAGAACTCAAAGATCTGACTGTCTCTGTCTCCTGAATACTGGGATTAGAGGCACAAGTCACCATCCCCTAGTTCTGAATGCTTGCATTTTGATGATGGGTGAGGGGGATGAGCACAGTCAAGCCTCAGGCCAGGAGGAAATTGTTCAAAGGTGCATCTTACACTTACCTACCATATTTAGAGGCATGTGTGGCCCTCCCTGCCCTTCACTCTTCATCTACTCTGGGCCCCTGCATTCTAATGCTAGGTTCTTTGAAAACCATGAAACCCCTAACCTTTAAAATTGTGCTTTGAAATAAATACATCTAGAGCTTTGTATCTGAAAGAGAAAATGCTTCTTAGACTTCCAGTATGACTGTAAAGGCAATAATGTGTGTGATATGTGTGTCATGTGTGTGCATCTGTGTGTGTTGTGTGAGGTGGTGTCTCTGTGTATGATACATATGTGATATGTGTGTCATGTGTATGTGTATGAGTATGTGTGGTATATATGAGACACGTGTCATGTGTGTGCATGCATGTATGTAATATGTGTGGTGTGTGGCATATGTGGTATATATGTGATATGTGTGTCATGTATGTGCATGTGTGTGTATGTGGTGTATCCCAGGGGACCTTTTATGAGGGAGTCAGCTCATGATCTGCCCACATAATTTGAAAGATGTCAAGTACAGAGTCCAAAACAGAAGACCTTTCCAGGCATGACAATGAAGGAGCTGGAGAAGTTAGAAGGAGACACCTGACTGACTTTCAGGCCCAGGCAGACCTATTTTCAGTTTACTTTCATCCAAAGAATGAAAGGCAGAAGCCTGGTCCAGTGGCCACATGTTGGCTCATATGCTTGGACTGAGGTTTGATATCCACTTTATTAAGAAGGGGGTTATGCTGTTCGCTTCCCATGTCTGCACAGAGCAGGGTTCATGGGAGCGCAGGATACATACATTCATTTCCTAGTCCCTGCTACCCATGCTCTGCATTTTGGTGCTCTTCTATCTCAGTCTTGTTGTTCTCAGTGTCTGGCCACAACCTCCAGAGCACTACAGTAATGCCTCTGGACCTAATATAATTTTTAAATCTTATCTGGGACAACTGGATCACAGATTCTCACTACTTAACATTTGGACCTCATCCACAAACCTTTCCTAGTGGCTCCAGTCTGTATGTGTGCTTGGGATTTTATGACCTGTCTTGGGCTCTCTTTTCATTTTGACCCATTACAAGAAAGTGGTACCTTCCTCTCAGTCTGAACTTAAGATCCCAGCTGTGGGCACGGCTGGCTTTGTTTAACCAGTGGCCAATGGCCAAAACAGAAGCAGTCTCCCAGGTGGATAAACGGCCGCTGTCACTGGAGCCTTTGATTTGGGATGGTCCTCAGATCACCTAGGGTTCTGTGTGCATGGTAGCCCATGGTAGGTTTAGAAACCAGAAATAGCCTCTGCTAAATGTAAAAGCAGACTGTCACCAGCTTCCCTGGGACAATGTGGGCAAAAATGATAACTCCTCCTACAGTCAAATAACTCCTCCCACAGTCAGATAACTCCTCCCACACTCAGATAACTCCTCCCACAGTGAGATAACCCCTCCTTCAGTGAGATAACTCCTCCTATAGTCAGATAACTCCTCCCACAGTCAGATATTTTTTCTAGGTGTTTTCTTCACCCTTTATATTACTTGGTCTTTACACCAGCTCTTTAAGTGCTGTTACTTGAGGGTGATGGTGGAGGTAGAAGTCCCCTGTTCAGTGGGGAGGGAACTATTTAATGTTTCCTCTTCTTCCTCCTCCTTCTCCTCCTCTTTCCCCCTGTGGGCCCTGCAAGACATCTATAGAATCCCCTTTGAATAATAGCCAAAGCCAGTGAGGATAACCCCAAGTGTCAGGGATCCTTTTGAGATTTTTCATTTGGCGTGAATAGGTGTCACTAAACAGTCCATCTCTACAGCGCAACACCCTCTACACCTAACACTTCACCCAATTCTCACAGCCCGACATTATTACCAGTAGCAGAAACAAAACAAAACAAAACAACCCCAAAACCCCCGAAGTTCGCCATGGTAAAGTGACCTATCTAGAGTCAGACGAGCCTCGACTGTCCCACCATCCCTAACCACTAGCTTATGAATCACTCCAACCCCAAGCTCCCCGAATCTGACTTTGGTGGTGGAGGCTTTTGCTGCATGCATCCCTCAGTACAGGGACTGCTCTTTTGGGAGACAGCAGCCTACACGAGGTCAGGTCGGAACCCAAAGCATCTGTAGCCCAGTCAGAGCCAACAGCCCTAAAGAACCTGGCCTAACCACACCCAGTGTTTGAAGAACTAGACTCCCACAGGTCCTCCAGTTACCCCCAATTTTCCTCCACTTGCTTTCAAATTAAATGGAACAGAAAACATTTGATGCCCATAAAAATGACATTGGAACGTTTGCTTCAGCAGTCTTACCCAGGGCTTAGGAGCTAGAAAGAAAAGTTCTATGTGCATAGACAAGCCCTTGAATAGTAAGTACCATTTATTAGTTTGTTTTTTTTTTATGAACTTTTATGTATAATTTTATTTTTTATCTCCTCTTTCTATTTCCACTAAACTCGTTCATTTGGTCTTTCTTTTATTTATCTCCCCAATTTTTGTCCTATGCTAGTGTGTCTTTTCTTTATCCTTTAAGGCTTGATACAAATGCTCGCTCCTCCAGTAAGTCCTCCAGGATTTCTCTAGGTACTGTAGCAGCTGCCCTGCTGCCCAGTGCATGCCTTTTAGAGGGCCTGGAAAGCTGCTCTCATGAATTACTCTGGTTTCTCAATTCCATCAGGAGAGTGTCACTCTGCGAACTCCGCAGACTAGCATAGTGCTTGGGATACGGCTGGTGTATATATGATAATTACAGGAGGAGGAAAATATTCTTAAGTTCTGTCTCCTGTAACTATAAACCAGTAACAACCAATAATAACACTGAACAAAAATGTCCCTTGCAGCCTGCCATCCACTTGATCAATTATTTCTTCTTGAGAATCCTGAGGCTCTTTCTGGGACTTGCATCTTGTTAGATGGCCCAGTGTCTTCTGTGTTTCCCTGTCTGTCCTGGGATTGCTGAATGAATACCAATCTGACTGTTGAGATAGACTTGGAGCTATCTGGCCTTTGCAGACTGTGGCTCCTGAGAATGTTTTGGGGCTATGCAGAAACTGCAGAGCTGCTTCATGTCAGGAGGTCGAGCCCTTGAGTATGACCACCACGGAGGGGAGCCAACCCAGACTTTAAAGGATTGACTCCTCTACACAATAAACAGCTTTACTATGTCTTCTACTCTGTCCATACAAAGTTCCAATTCAAGGGTTAACCTCAGCCAGAGAGACAAGTGCCCCAAACCTTTCCTTCAACTGATGGTCTTCCTTTCCACAGATACAATAAACACACACACACACACACACACACACACACACACACCGCCATCTTGGAGCAGTGTGTAGGAAAAAAAAAATCCAAGCGCAATTTTAAAAGTGACTGTCCAGAAAGAGGGGAAGATTCCTACCCAGAAAATGATAGAAATGTAGAAATGAACATGTTATGAACATGTTAGCAAAGACACAGAGGCTCACAGAACAGAGAAAGAAAGAGAGAGAGAGAGAAAGGGGGGGAGGATTGGCAGGATGGTGGTGGCTAAGATAGTTCTAGAGAATGGGCCGGGTTCAAAGAGTTCAAGTGTAATAGCAAGGTCTGATTTCCCCAAACAAAAACAGCTCAAGGTTCAAATTACCCTCAGTGTGAAGACCCAAGCTTCTCAGAATTCTTGGGTGGAAGGAATCTTGGGACAGAAAGAAGACCTTGAGTTAAGAACTGAAATAAACTGGGTATAAACTGGGTATAGAGGTGCACCCGTTTAATCTCAGCACTTGGGAGGCAGAGGCAGGCAGATCTCTGAGTTCAAAGCTAGCCTGGTCTACAGAGTAAGTTCCAGGACAGCCAGGGTTACACATGGAGATCCTCTCTCAAAAACAAAACACAAAACAAACAAACAAACAAACAAAAAACCTAAAGGAAGAAAAAACTAAAACCACCAAAAAGAAAAAAGCCAAACAATCAAAAACTCTGAAGTGATGAGAACTGAATCAGCAAGCCAGCACCAGTCACTTCCCATCAGGCAATCCCCCATAAACATCATTGATGGCATAACCGAGGGCATTCTAAAGGATTCTGAGTATTACATGGTAGTAGCATTTCAAAGGTAATCTGGTAAATTTCAAAGTTGTATGAAAAGTGTGTGGAAGGATGTGTGTACAACGCACAAAGTATAGGGGTGACAGATTGTGTGGCTTGTGTAGGCAACTTGTTGCAAAATAGCTCAGAACTCCTTGCTGTTTTTCTTTAATAATTTCTTCTGAACTAAAAACATTTGTTGAAATTAAGTACATACAAAACAAAACAACAAAAACCAATTGGTCAGAGTCCCAAGTATCTGTGTCCTGACTCAGACAGAAAGGAGGTCTTCACTGGGTGGAGTCACTCTCAGCGGAACCCAATCTTGGCAAATGTGAGCAATTGCTTTAAATTGCTTCTGGACTCAGTCCACCACCCCTGGTACCCCCTCCCCCACACTTCTAAGGAACAGGGTCAGGTACTGACGACCTATATAGGCACCCTAGCTATTTATACTTTTTCCAGAGGGGAAGAAAATAACAGTAGTGACGATCTATATTGTTGACCACCATGTAATCTCTTCTTTAGAAACTCAGACTGTCTTCATATGTCGACCAGAGACAACGAAGCGGGTGTTGGAAAGAAGGACTAGAAAGATTCCGAGTGCACTGCACACCCTGAGGGTCTTTTCGGTGTGACTAGCTGTGTAGCGAGAGGCTGTGTGTGAGAGAAATGATACAAGATAACCCACTGTGTAGCAACTGTATCTACCTGCCAACTTCTTAGAATTGCTGACCACTTTAACAGGCCTTCTTGATGGAGGGGAACCTAAGGCAGCCCATGAGGGCAAAAGTCCCTGTAGGCTGAAGAAGAGGCAAAGTTAAAAGTTAAAATACTTACGTCGGAGGATCTCCCGTTGCTTTCTGACGTACCAGGTGTACAGGGCAGCTCGCTTCTGGGTCTTCATAGGGGTGCCCTTGTTGAGGTGTTGAGAGAGGTGGGATTGGTTCAGGCCTGTGACATCAACTACCTCCCTCTGGGGGATGTTGTGCTGTTGCATGTATCCCTTGATCATTTTGGCAGCCCTCCACGGGTCCTCGCTAGACAGAGAAACACATCATTAGGATGCTGCTGCGAAATGCCCAAGGGAAAGTAGTCACCCGCAAGGAGCAACAAACTCATTTTCCAATATTTCCCCACCTGTCGCAATTCCAGCCTCGAGAAAGGTATCCGCTAAAACCAAACTAAATACGGAGGAGTAGGTGCCTCCCACCTCTCGCCTTCAAGTCACAGCTTTTCCTTTTGAGATAGGCTCATCTTTAAGCCAGCCCCTACTCCCCACTCCCCAGACCCCATCCCCTAGGCCTTGGAAGAAAATACTCTTGCTTTGTTCTCCTCTCTTTGGATTTCAAGAGATTAAAAGAGAAGAGTCTCACCAGAGAGTGGAGATACCTTTAGCATGAGTTGGCTAAGGTGATCGATCCTACACGGAGCCAAATGAGTTTTAAAAGTTTTAATTGAAACTTCTCCAATATTATTCTCTTTCTGAAAAGGAGGTCTAGTCTGTTAAAACAGGGGTAGGTCTGTGTGCACACCTCCTGGGACACAAGCAAGAGTCTTCTAAAAACTACCTGTATATTAAATAAAATTATTTTTGTTTGATGTGTCAAGAAACTTCCAGCAATCAAACTGAAATATTTCATAAGCATTTGTACAGTTGTGATTCCTTTTGTAGTCAAATATTACATTGTTTTTGGGTTTTAGAAAAGTGTTCTCAAATATGTTCTCTCCAGTTGAACAGGACACTGCAAAGCAGGTATGCTTTTTTTTTTTTTTAAATAATTAACCACAGCCCTGCCTCCAAAATAAAACCCATCGAGGAAGAGTAATTTCAGTATTGGGGAGTAAGACATTAATGATCCCAAATACTCTGTTTGCCTGTATGATTGATCTCTCTGATATAGAAAGGCCACCTGGGTGGTTGCAGTTCTCCTGGATTTCAGGTTTGGACTGAGAATAGACATGCTTCTCATTTCTCACAAATGCAAGCACAGCTTGCACTATAAACAAAGCACGAGGATATCTCCCAGGCATTTTTTAAAAAATGTTTTTAACTTCACTGTTACTTTTTCTTGCTTGTTAAATAGGTGACTTAGAATGAGAACTGTTATTGAAATTAAGAGACTAAGTCTCATAATGTATAGCACAGATCAAAAGTATTAAAGGAACAATACAAGTACATATATTATTTATTTAATGCAGCTACAGAAACAATTTTTTACTATATGTTGATATAATATATATATACACACTATATATATATATATACATATATACATATATATATATATGCTTAACAAGACATCAAAAAACAAAGAAAAAAATTGGATTCAGATGAAACAATAAAAATTGGTGTTAAAGCTGAGACCAAATTAGATACAGTGGTAAAACAATTATTTTTCAATGGTGCCTAAAAAATCAATTAGTTTGTTTAACATTTTAAAAATCTCCAGCGATCAAGGGAGATATTTTATAGGCATTTGAATTGTGACTATTTCAGCAAGCCTTGGCTATCAGGTTCGTGAGAAGGCAGGCTTTGAATGAGATGTTTTTGAGAATTGCAAACGTTCACATTAATTATACATAAATTAACGAATTTCTCAAGCATTTATAAAGGCCCAGAAAATAAAACAACATAATGAAATAGAACCAAAGCAGAGGAAACGCGTTCCAGTGTCAGACCTGGAGAATTCATCCTGAGCAGGAGAAAAACAACATTTTAGACATTTTAGACATGACCACGTAAATACCAGCGATCGGCTAAAAGCTCATTGTTGGTTAACATTTCCACAGATAGTTTTAGGGTAGAAAAGCATTTCTAACAGATACGAACAATAGCTTCAAAAGTTAGAGAAAACAGTATTTGGGTTTTAAAAGTTAAGACTGTATCGCTTTAATAGATCGTTTGGCCATTTTTCCTTTGTTTAGCTTCTTCACCGGTTATTCTAACGTGCCTAAAAAGACCTAGCATAATAGCGTGTTCTAAATGTGAGTGATTCCCTGTAAAGGGAATTAAAAGCGAGACGATTAAGAAAAAGAAAAACAAAACAAAAGAAAAATGGTTGAGACAAAACCTTCAGGTCTGGAATTAAAAGATTTGAATTGGGGGTAAGATGGCGTAGCTACACCTTAAAAAAACTAAAAAACAAAACGAAACAAAACAAAACAAAACACTTCTCAGATCGCAGAATGTCCCGCATATTCCCTAGGGGAGAGCTCTGAGGCCCAGGTAAGGAGTTGTTGGGAAATAGTTTCCTCTGTAGGAGAAACTAGTGGTAGGGAGAAGAGCTCGGCCTTTGTAGAGCTAGCGCAGGTGTCAAACGCAAACCCACAGTGGCCGCAATGTCCGGCCGGCTCCTTCCTCAAAGATGACTTTGCTATCCCGGAGCAGAGAAACCCTGGGCCCCAGCTCGCGGGAGAACTAGAGGTCTTGGTCCCTAGGGACCAAGCTCGCGGGGGAACTAGGGGTCTGGGTCCCACGGGCCTCCTAAGTCCCTGGGGCACACCAGCCTCCTGGCCGAAGCCGGGGAACACAATTTGCAACCTTCCTCTCTGGCCAGGCTTTTCCAGCCGGGGTGAAGGCAACCAGGCGCGCCACCGAGTGACCCTCCTCCCCCGCACACCTTTCTTTTCTTTCTGACTTACAGGGGAACAAGGAGGTGGAGCGGGGAGAGAAAAACAAAAGAATGCCTGGTACCCTGCAGTCGGCTGTGCAGTGTGACCTGAGAGCCGCTAGCAATTTCTTGAAAAATTACTTTAATAAAGTCGGACGCTCCAGGCCCAGGGGAGGGAAGGCGGCACCAGCTTGCGAATGGGACAAAGCTTGAGGGTGTGTCCTGGGTCCTCACCCCAGCTAGAGTCTGGGCTCTTCTCCTTCTGCTCCCCATGGTTTAGGGGTGGTAAGAAGGCCCAGGTCCTAAGACCCCCGACTCAGACAGACTCTGCGCCCGCAGAGCTCTGCCGGTGTCGGCTTCCCGGAGCAGCGCGGGGACCTGGGGGCGCGCCCTGTACCTCTGTGCGTGTGTCCTGCGAGCACCCCCTCCTGCGTTTTGATTTCCTTCCCTTTCTAAGCCGAGTTTACAACTTCACCAATGAATAACCCGCCTCTCTTTTCAACCTAATCACGCTCTTTGTGTACTTTCTGTTGATGATTTATAGGAATAAATTAATAACACCCCAACTCCACGTGCTGCAGTTTATGTTACATCTCCGCTGTGTCCAGCCCGGCGTGGGGACCGTGGTGGAGAGGCGCCCTAGGCCTCCCAGTCTTCCCTAAGACCAGCTAGAAGGAGGCTCTCCGGAGGAAGGACCTAGGCCCTAGGGGGCTGGCGACGGGATGCCGAGTCCCTGAGCCAGGCCCCAGGACAGCTTTCCTGCCAGCCTGCCGTCCCAGGCTTTCTGAGAGGCTCGGTACTAAAGTCTGTACCCTCTACACCGGACACCATCCAGGTCCCTAAACTCAGGCACAGAGAAATCACTGCTAAACGGAGAAACAGCAACGGAAGAAACCCAAGCTTCTGAATCAGAGCAAAAACATTTTAGGGGGTTAAAAAAATTTTTTTTAAGTCCTCCAGATTGCCTTGGCTAGAGGGCAAGCGGCCGGATCCCCAAAGCGCAAATTCAAATGCAAGGTCATATCCCACCCTAAGCGCACGCTGCGGGAGAGGAAGCTGAGCCGCCGACGGCTGCTGCAGTCGCTCCGGAACTCTGAAACTTCGAAGCCGCAGGGCTTAAGAGTCAGAGGCCACGCGAGGGGCTCCTTTCTGAAGCCAAGTGGCCCCGGAGCGACGCGTAGTTTAAGGGAGCCGCTTGGCTCCTTGGATAATTAGTAACTAGCTGTCAAAGCGAAGGCCCGGGCTAGAGGACCCACAAGTGATCCCAGTCACCCAAGAGACTGCCAGCCAGCCTGGGTTCCCCCAGGACCTCTGGAGTGTCGCTAGCGAGATGCATACACGCCCACCTCTGCAAAAGGGGGATGGTGGTCTTAGGAGCACGTACCCCACCTATTCTCTCTCCCTTTCGTTCGTGGTTTCTTCCCCCCCACCCCCGCCCCGGCACTGGTGACCCTACTACAAACTTTCCACTTTATAATTCCAAACCCGGAGCTCACACCGGCGCTGTAAGGACACAACCAGAGAACTTGCTTCCCAGGCCTCTACCAGCGATTCTGCCAGGCCTTCTGCAAAGAACTGCTGATCTCTGGGAGAAATGCGCGGCTTGGGGTTTGGGGAATTTGGTGGGTCCTGGGGGGATCACAGCTGTTTCGCTGCACCCACCTGCCCCTATGGTCATGTGATCTAAGGCTCCGCACCTTCGGTTCTCGTGTCTGGGTACCACCAACAAGGTGCCTAGGTCCAGGGTGCCCGCATAGGTGGAAGCAGGTGAAGCCTGGAGGTTCCAGGTCACCCGGCGGAGGGCCAGGTTCAATTGTTAGCAGAGAAGCGGAGCGCTCCCCGGGGCATTTTTCCCGTGGGAAAGGGGCTTGCTGGAGAGCAGTCTGATCCGCAAGCCTCTGGCGCGGGGCCGGGAACTCCAGAGACTGCGCGGGCTCCGGGACATACCCCGCTCGCATGCCTACCTGAGCATCCGGTCCACCTCGGCCCGCTGCTCCGCGGCCTCCTCGGTGTTGAGCGCCTGGAGCTCTTTGAGGATGGGAGGAGTGTCATAGTCGTCGCCGTCCTCTGAGCCCTCGTCCCCAGACAAGCGGCCCTTGGCGTGGCCATTGGTGAGGGTATGGAAAACCGGCTTGGTGTCGAGATCCGTCCCGCTCCCGGGGGACAGGGGCAGTGTCTCCAGCTTCACCCCGAAATTCGGGGACGGCAGTAACTCCTCCAAGGCCTGGATCAGCACTTCCTTGGTGACTCCGGAGCTCAGCAGGGCACTCAGGAGTTCTTGCTGGAGCGACGTGAGCTTGGACACCATTTTCCAAGGACAGAAAAAGAAGGGGTTGAGGGGATGGGTGGATGTGAGAGAGGAGGGTGGAGGGGAGTTTTACAAGAGAACCCCAAGTCCTGGAACCCCTCCACCCTTTAGCTTTCAGACACCTGTTATTCTCTGGGGTCCCGGAGACTCCTCCGAGAGGAGTCAGAAAACTTCTAACTTGCCATGATCGCCACCATTAGGCCATATAAGATATGCAAATGAGTGGGAAGGGCTCGACTTTCGGCAAGATGCAAATGGTGGTGGGGAGGGGGAAAAACCGAGAAAGTGGGAGAGCCTAAGGGACAGTCCAACGGAGCCAGAGACTTGGGCCGGGATTGGGACTTGCCAGAGCCCATTGTACTCACGCTGGGGGGCTCCAAATCTTCTTCACCGATTCTGTTTATCAGCCAAACTTTAGGTGACCTTTGGACTTGTAAAGCAAGTGGTTTGCAGCCTAGGCTGGGTGGGGGTGGGAGGCCTTTCCACTGGCGACGGGTTCGGCTTTAGTCCAGAAAGAAGAAACTGCGCTTCGGGGGTTCAGGTGAGAGAGCTGGAGAAAGTTGGGGTGCCTTGGGAAGGGGGTGTGGGGGAGAATGAGGAGAGCAGAGAGCCTCCAAGGTATCTGCAGGTAGCAAGCCTGGAGATGTACCCAGATGGTGGCGAATCCGATCCTTTGGGAATGGGAGCCAGGAATAAGAGTGGCTTTAGGCGCGGTTAGAACGAATTGGAGGGACCCCATTTCTTTTTACCTCGGTTACTGTTCTCCAGGCCCTCCTCAGCTCGGCCTGGTAATTTGGGTTTGCCGGATTGCCTGACCCGGACCGCGCGTTGTTAGCGTGCTAGAGGCCTGCGGGACCCTTGAAAGGAGACGCCGATTCATTTATGGCCAGAGGGAGCCACCTGCCCTGCCGAGCCAAGCAGGAGCAGGACACCTGGGGCTTGCCCTCTGCCTAAACCCGGAACATAACAGCGCCTGGGCTCTGCACCTAAAACTAGGGCTGCGTGTGGCTCAACCTGTGGCTGGACCGACTGTTGCAGCTGTGGGTTACCCAGGACCACTTTTTTGGTTCTTAATTCTCGGATGTCCCCTGTGCTGGGAGTTAAGAGTCGCGCTCTATAAACACAAGTTCACTGTGGTGGTGGCAGGAGTCTTGCATGCCATCTAAAGCAGGCATCCCCAAAGCCATCGAAGAACAAAAAAAATTTTTTTTTCCCCACTCAGGTCTGGCCCGGAAGGAAGCCCTGAGCCTTTCGGCACGGCAGGAGTTTCTGCCACATCTCCCCTGGGACCCGGAGAGGAAGGAAGGAGGCACAGGCCGCACCCAGACCTTCAGGCTGGGACCTGACCTGGGAAGGAACTGCTTAGATCCACACACACACTAGTAGCTCTCGAGGGTAGAGGCCATTTTGAACCTCGGTTCCCTCATTTGTGAAATATACTCTTAATATCCAGGATACAGAAAAGCTGTAGACGCGGAGGAAGACCACCTGTGCGAAGCTGGCTAACACCTGTGTACACACTTCCCAGTCTGTGAAGATGGGAGGCCTGCTCCTAGTGGTAAAATCTAGCCCTTTGGAAGCTTAGGGTTCTCAGAATCGGGGACATTAGGGTTGGAAGAACTGGACAAAGAAAGACAAATGTTCAGAGTCATTGGCAGGGCAAAGGAACATCTACGTACATTCTCTTGCTGCGTGCACTTTCAAACACAACCAGTTAGGAGGAAATTGTGGTTGGGTCAGAGAGAGAGAGAGATGAATATTATGAGGGATAGGCCAGCAGCCCCTGTCTGCTACACACAGGATCAGACCTCCTGGTGGTGCATAGACTCTGCTGGTTTTGATGCAGTCTGCTAAGGGTGCCATTCATTGAAAGACAGAGCTGGTGGCAGATTTTAGGTACCAGGCTCACCTGTGAGAGGACTCTGGGAGAAGGAAGGGGGTGGTTATATGCATGGGACCCCACACAAGGTTTACACCTATCACTGCTTATCCGAGAAAGAGGTCATAAGTTCATAGAAGTAGGGGCCCTTCATTTCACCTTCTTGCTTTCTAGTTTGTTGTGACAGGTGATGGATGCTTGGTTCTTATGGTTGTGCCCAGTAGGAGGACTCTTTCTGCCTCACAGCCTTACTCAAACAGAATAATGACGTGTTCCAAATAAATGTCTTTTTGTTTTCCCTGTCTCCTGCTCAATATCCTGATATTAGTATAACGAACATCGATTTCTGTCTTGAGCTGGGAAAACCCATTAAAAGGCCACCATCACCACCACTGCCCACTAATCAACACAATTTTGATTTGTAATACTTTGATATGACACCAGATACCCAAACCTCCCTTTCTCAAAAAGTTCCAGTGTTAACCCCTTCTTCCCCCACCCCTGATACCCATGTAAATGAACAGCAAGCTGCACCTAGAGTTCAAGGAACAGTTTATGAGTGTGCAGGTAGGTCTCCTAGGTGTTCATACCCTGAGATTGTCCTACCCAGACCTATAGTTCATTTACTCAGAGCGATATAGGATACTAACAAGTAATTGCAATTGCAGATGTCTGAGCAGATGTGATGCCCATGAACATGTACTTATTATTTTATTTTTATTTTTTATTTGTATGAGTGGTTCGCTTGCATGTATGTGTGTGCACCATGTGTGAACCTGACACCCTTGGAGGACAGAAGAAGCTTGGATCCCCTGGAGTTGGAGTTACAGACAGTTGTGAACTGTCATGTGGATGCTGGGAATAAAACCAGGGAACATGGGTCCTCTGGAAGAATAGCTAGTGCTCTTAACCATCAAGCCGTCTCTCCTTGTTTATTTATTTTTTATGTGTATGAATGTGCCTGAATATCTGTGTAGCATGTGCATGCCGTGTCTAGGGAGACCAGAAGAGGATGGCTGATACTGGAGCTGGAGTTACAGGTTGTTGTGAGCCATGATGTGGGTACTGGAACTGAATCCAGGATCTCTGCAAGAGCAGCAGGTGCTCTTAACTACTAAACCATCTTTCCAGTCCCCATTCAAAATTATTTACTTTTATTTTATGTGTAAAATGTTTTAACTGCATGTATGTCTGTGCATCATGTGTGTGCTTGGTGCCTTTAGAGACAGAAGTGGGTTGTAGATCTCCTGGAACAGGAATTACAAAGAGTTGTGAGCCACCATATGCGTGCTCAGAATCAAGCCAGACATCCTTGCAAGAGCAACACGTGCTTTTAGCTGCTGAGGCATCTCTTGAATCCCTGACAAGTCTATGTTTTTTTTTTTTTTTTGACCTGAAACTCACTATGTAGGCCAGGTTGGCCTTGACCTCCTAGGGATACACCTGTCTCTATTTCCCTCATGCTGAGATTAAAGGTGGCTTCATGTTCTGATGGACTCAGGATGCATCAGCAGGTCCTGTGAATATTGTTCTCTCTGTTTGTGCACGTTCTTGTACATAAATTATAACTTAATTTAAAAAATAAAATTTATGCCAAAGCTGTGTACCGTGGCACTTGTGAGGTAGAAGGAGAAGAATCAGAAGTTCAAGCCTCGTTTGGAAGAATTCAAGGCTTGCCTGAGTTTTATGAAATCCTGTCTCAAACAATAAGATGAAAGGAATTCCAATGTATACAACATATACAGTGGTGGTCATTAACTTATTTACCAAATGTTTATAGTTGGTTTGTGATCTTCTAGAATCTTTTCAATTCACCACATATATAGTTCATTATCATTAAAATCCATAGGCTGGCCAGATGGGGTGACATATGTCTCTAATCTCAGCAGACTGAGGAGGAGGATCTAGAGTTCGAGGCCAGCCTGGACTGGCTACACAGCAGGAACTTGTCTCAAAAATCCAAACCAAGCCAAACAAAACCCTAGAAACTTAGTAGATTATCAAGCATGTCCCAATAGCCAACAATCCCTTTCTCATAAAGGGTTAGATAGTAAATATTTTAGGCTCTGTGGGCATTTAAGTCTCTGTGGTGGCAACTACTCAATTCTGTTGCATACAATACAAAAATGGATATCTGTAGTTGTCCCAATAAAGCTTTATTTATTAAAAACACTGGCTGCCGGGTGGTGATGGAGCATGCTTTACCTTTAATACTAGCACTTGAGAGGCAGAAGCAGGTGGATCTCTGAGTTGGAGGCCAGAGTGAGTTCCAGGACAGTCAAGGCTACACAAAGAAACCCTGTCTGGCAGGGGTGGGGGGCAGGGAAGAAAATGAAAGCAAAGACAAAAAATGAAAACCTATACAATAACAACATTGGCTGAAAATGTATTTGGTTCATGGGCCACACTTTGTTAAACCTGGGTAAGATGTTTCTGTAGATCAGGACCTGTAGACAAATCAACCTTACAAGTGGTCTCTTGTCCTTTCTTCCCTCTTGGGATGAAAAAGCAGATGCCTTATTTGGGAGAAGAAATGACTACTTTCCAAGACATATAACCCAGGACATTAGGAAGTCCTGGTTTTGGAGTCAGGCACACCAGCTGCTTTCTGGGACTGCCTAGTTAGACTTTGGCTAAGTTATTCTACTTCTTCTTGTTTTTATATCATGAATATGTGTGAATGTTGATGACAATGGAATTTATGCCTCACCAGGTTGTTGTAAGAGTTCAATGATGTAGCTCAGAGAATATCTTGAATGGGTCAGCACAAGCAGGAGCCAAATCAAATACTTGCTCAGTTGTAACTCATGATTCAAGAGTTCTCTCCCTCCCTCCTTCCCTCTCTCCCCCCTTCCCTTCCTCCCTCC